TATATATATATATATATATATATATATCTATTTATTTGCACTCAATCCCCATGAACTTCACCATCCATAGAATTTGAATGTTGTTCCACTTTGTTGAGAATTACACCGCACTCTCGGGTCTTAATGCAATTACAATGAATTTTAACACTACAACGACCCTTATTGTAATGTAATTGAAGTGCAAGTAAAAACCATCACATTTATAATAAAAACTTCTTCAAGCATGTATCCCAATACCTAAACATAAATCCTACTCTTTACAAAAGAAAATTAAAAGAAAAATAATGGCATAATCTTCTCATGCCACTATTTTCAAAAGACACTATTTTAATCTTCTCATGCCACTATTTTCAAAAGAGAAGAAAGAGTAAGAGAAATACATCACAAAGCACGAAGAAAACTCAATAAAAAACTTCATTAAATCAATACAAATACACTTAATAAGTGTTTACAAAATTATAAGATAATGAAGAACACAATACTTAACTTTTTCTCTTTGAAAGAAAGATAAAAATCTCTCTGTGAAATCCTCTCCCACAAAGTCTCCCGCTGATCCATGCAATGCTAGAAAATTCCCTTACAGATTCTGTCAAAATCCCCTCACCAATATCTCCAAAAAGGTAGTAAATCTACATTTCTACTTCAATTCTAAGATCTCTAAATATTTTCCACGTTACATTTCTACTTCTATTCTAAGATCTCTAAATATTTTCCACGTTTTTTTCCACGCACACACACCATCTTTTCTGACATAAAAGCACTCTATTATAGTGTAGGGACGAATTTCCCAAGAGATGCCTCAAGCAACCTTCTAAAAAGCATCCAAATACATTGAATCTTCTAGAAATTTGCCCAACATCACGTCCAAACTATTTCGGGTGCCGTCGATGCCATGTTCACGTCGCTCTCTGCAATCTTGCTTCGTCAGCACCGGTTATGGCACCTTCGGCGCCCACCCTGCGCAGCACCACCATTTTGCTTCGTTTGACTTCGTTTTAGCTCAGTTTCTCTCCATTTCAGTTGTGTTACATTCCTAACAGATAAACATACAAAATAAGAATAAAAACAATCTTATTTTAAAATCTAATTTCATTCAGAAATGTGTGAGAAGTATAAAAGAGATTAAGCCTAAAAAGACATATCGAAATGTGTCAGGACAGAATTTTTTTTCTTGCCCTTTTTTGCTCTAAATCGCACCGTTTTTGCTTATTTTTCTCCAAAACTACATTTCTTGTCCCTGAAACTAAAAATATACAAAATACATTCCTTTAAAGTGTAATATCATTAAAAATTATTAAAATTGAGCATAAAATATATATTAAAAAGTGGTCATTTTTTAGGCGTATCATATATCTAAGAGATTGGGTGGTACTCCAACTATATATCTCTCTCAATGTGGTGATTATCTTACTCTATCCCCTATGCATCCCTCCCACTTCGCTACCTCACATGCCTCTTTGTTGCAGCCCACCCCGATAGTAAATATCCTTTTGTTGTTTTTTTGTAATTTTATTGTTGTCCAATCCATCTCCAAAAATTTTTAATGGCCTTCTGAGAGAGTTACACCCTATAAAGTAGCTAGTATGCATGACACAGATATTTTAAATATCCTAACTACCCAAACAGCCGTCATTTCTAGGGAGTTACACACTTTTAGGGTGAATTTCGTGCAAGGACCCCCACCAAGTGAGGAGATGATATATGGACCAGCAGGAGATCCTAGCATGGCGACTTTAGAGACTATAAATGTCAAAAAAAAGAACCAACCCCACAACCTTTACTACAACTCTTAAAACCCATGATGAAAAAAATTACGGGTTGACCTAGTGATTCAGTCAAATTGGGTGAACCCAAGTTAGGCCGACTTGACCCAGTGGTTCAGTTAAATTGGGTTAACCAGAGTTAGGTCGAGTTGACCGGTGGTTCAATTAGATCGAGTTAACCCGAGTTAGGTCGGGTTGACCTGGTGGTTCAGTTGAATTGGGTTGCCCCGAGTTAGGTTGGGTTGACCAAGTAGTTTAGTTGAATCAGGTGAACCCGAGTTAGGTCAAGTTGATCTGATGGTTCAATTGAATTGGGTTGACCCAATGATTCAGTTGAATTGGGTGTAAGTTAGATTACATACAAGAGAACTTATGTTTGACAAAGTCCAAGTTAAGTTGGGCTAAACCTAGAGAAAGTGTGGGTTGAACTAAGTCTGAGTTAGGTTAGACTTAAGATAATTGATGTTTAGGTATAAGTTAAGTTAGACCCAAGGATGGTTCATGTTTTAGGTTTAATGTGGGCTAGACCAAAGGGGTTCATAAAGGTTTTAGGTTTGATTTCGATTAGACCTAAAGGTGGTTGAAGCTAGGTCTAAGTTGGATTGGACCTAGGGTTTATTTTTAGGTCTAATGTGGCCCAGACCTAAGAGGTTTAGAGATTAGGTCTAAATTTAGGTTAGACCTAAAAGAAATTAAGTTAGGATTTAGATCTAATTTAGGTTAGACACAAGGTTTAGGTTTAAGTCTAATGTGAGTTAGACCTGAGGTGATTCAAGCTAGGTTTAAGATCTATTAGACCTATGGTTTAAGTTTAGGTCTAATGTGAGTTAGAACTAAGAGGTTTAGGGTTAGGTCTACTTCAGGCTAGACCTAAAAAAGACTTAAGTTAGGGTTTAGGTCT